AGCTGAGAATTTTAAATAATACTTAAATAAAAATTAAATTTTGTTTTATTAGAAACACACACACACACACATACTTGTATAAATCTATCATACATCCATAACAGATGTCTAATGGACATCCATGATGGATTTATATACGACATCTATCATGGAGATAATGGATTTCTATTAGAAATCTATACAATATCCACTGTGGAGATAGATGTCGCATGGAGTTATGGAGATTATATGGATGTCATGTTCCGTGTGGGTATATATATATGTTTGTGAATCGATTACTTTGACGACGACTTTGGCAAGCATTGGCTATACTTTGACGACTTTTGGCTGTTTTGACGACCGCCGTCAAAGTTTTATTGTTCTATCGTATATTTTGACGACATCATCAAAATAACCCATATCAATGAAAAGGCTACATTGACGACATTGTAAAGATTGACAACAGTATGCGGTGTAATGGTGATTTTGACACAGTAAGAGAAAATAATCAAAAAAAAAAAGAGAGCATATTAGATATTTTCATATACTTACTTTTTTCTAGATGGAATCAAATATACTTTAATATAGAATATAGATTATTATATTAGCTTTAATATAGATTCCCAGTGAGCATTATTGAGAGGATGAGCTTTTTAAGAGGACTTTTTAAAGACTTAATTAAATTAAGAAGTTGGGTTATCAAAAAATGTAAAGGGCGTTTTTTAATTCATCGATTGATCAATCGTATGATGCACAAATGTAGCAAATACAGGACTTTGCTGTACTTGCGCATCACGCGATTGATCAATTATGATCACGATGAATTAAAAAACTCGCCCAAAAATATAATACTACAAATAGAACGGTTCTTAACGGTGACATTTTTTTGATATTTAAAAGAAGTCAGATTGTGGAATTCTTTTAGATGTCAATTATATGATGTCTTTCTTTCCTCAAAATTGACGCATTGGAGGACTTATTGATTTCATAATATTATCATTTTGATGGTGTTTTCAGAAGTCCGACTTTTAAACTTGAGTACTTTATGAATTTCTTTTGATAACAAATTGCTCACTGGGTTATTAATATAGATTATTAATATAGAATTAATATAGAATATTAATATAGATTATTAATATAGAATCAATGTAATACTTTCAAGCGGATATACATTATGTGCGATATGCGCAGGCCAAGTCTATATGTCGATGTTTTATCTATTATTGGTATCTCACAAATATATGTCATCTTACTGCAGCCAGTGACATACGCGAAGTTAGGAGATCTGTCATGTGTGCAGTAGATACCCTGCCGAAAATGGTCGATTAAAACGGATTAAGAAAAATGTAATCCGAATCGATCGGGATTTCTGCACCGAAAATGCGGTATTAAAACCGATTGAAAATAGTCAAATCGAATGATTTTATGTAGTGTGAAGTAGGATTTGCTATTATTATGAGTCACAATCAATTATTGAATCGGTGTTTCTGCAATTGATCCTATAAATGTCCACTGTATAAACCACTGGATGTCTGTAGGATACCCAGTCAGCCACGTCTGTTCTAACAGATATTGCCAAGTGCTTGCTACAAATTATTGTCAGCAAAAAGGCTACAAATTTGGTACAAGAGTTGTTATTACCGATTAAGCTGGCAGATTGGCGGCAAAAACCAAACAAAGTTTGCTAACATAACTAGACAGCAAATTGGCGGCAGAAACCATGCAAAGCTTGCTGACATGACCGACATCAGATTGTCGGCAAAAACTGAGCAAGATCTGGAGTGCGCAATCTGATGGCAAATTGGCAGCAAAAACCGAACAGAATCTGCAGCTTATTACAAAGTATTATAAAATAGTTCAGTCGCTTATCGCTATGCGGCGCGTTATTCATTATCTATACCCGTATTCAAATTCTTATCATGAGTGTATATAAAGCCTGCAAAACGCTAATAATATTATAATATATATATATCAGGTGATTGCATAAGTAATATCCTGAACCATCCTGGACATATTCAGGATGATCCTGAGGACGTTTTGTGCTGTCTGGGTAGGGTCCCCTTTGTCGGCTAGCCGGATGTGAAAGCTGCAAGACCAATTTTAGCAGCGTAGAGAGGGCAAAATGGGCGGTCGGTCGGGCGGGATCTGACCGAACTGGACGAAAAGCGAGGTTGTTCTCTCCGTGAACGCAGTATAGATACATGACAATACGACAAGAGTAACACAAAGACTGGCAATAATAGAGAAGTGAAAGCTTCTAGTAAACAATAATAAACATTGAGAAGTCCTACAGTAGGTCAACATATAAACTCACTATTCTTATTACTGATGTGCGTCCGGCTAAAAATCGGCGCTGATTGACCAGACTTTATTCAATAATAACTCCTTTATTAAGCGTTATAGAAAAAAATGGTACAGGACTTTTCTGTTCAGTTTACTGTGCTCTACCTGCTCACGAGCGTTGTCAAGGGTGCTTTGGGACACCCTGTATATACACACAGCCAAATGTTATTCCTCTTGGAAGATATATAGCAAGACACATAGTCCGTATGAACAATGTGAAATTGTGTTCAAATATGTGATAAAGGCATACACGTCTATATTATACTGTTATCTATACGCTTAGATACGCTTAGGCCGGTATTCATAGTCAGTTCTTATATTTAAGACCGTCTTAAGCACAATCTTAAGATGTCCTAAACCAATCACAGAGCCGTATTAGCATCTTAAGACATTACTTAAGACGGTCTTGAAATAAGAACTGACTATGAATACCGGCCTTGGTGAAATTGGCCCTCTCAGTTAACATGCCTTTTAGTGAGATGTGCACTATATATGCACTTGATATTTTTAGTTTATTTTTACTTTTTAAGTTAAATGTATACGTTTAAAAAATAAATGAATGTCGTTTGAATGACATAAATTTCGAATGTCATTCATGTCATTCGATCGAATATCGAATTCATATCGATATTCTGCTCAATTTTGTAAATGACTGCCCTCGCTTCACATGTTCTTATATGAAAATATAGCCGTGTTATCAGCCCACTCGGCATGTAATAATTCTGATACATTGCTGCAATATACCATTTAAAATATTACACCTTTCAACAATATTACAGAAATATTTCACGACCGTTTCTGCAACATTTCTGCAATGTTTCAATGTCCGCAATCATTTCAAATGCAACCTTGCTAAAAGATTTCAGCAATATTTCGGTAATATTACTGAAATATTTCTAAAACATATCCCAAGTAGCAAACTGACGTAATAATGACGGTAAATTTTGGTCACAGAATAACCACTTAGACATCCTAACTTATGATAGGTCTCATGAGACCCGAAAATGATGTCGTATGTCACATCCACGAGACGTCATTTTCTGATGTTTGTTTGACGGCAAAACTAAAATCAATTATAGTAATAATATATAACAATATACATTAATGTGATATATATTATAGATAAATTTAAATAATTTAATTTATAAAATTAAAGATTTTATTTATATGGAAGTTAATTTCTGTTTTATATTTTAAGCAGATAATAACTTGAATACGGGTATAGATAGTGAATAGCGCGCCGCATAGCGGTAAGCAAATAAACTATAACCTCAATACTGGTTACAAAAGAACTTTCTGAAAGATTTCAGAAATATTGCAAATGCAATATTTTAAAAAACATGATACAGGTACATTTCTGAAATATTTCGGATGCAAAGTTACAATTAAAATATTAATGAAATATTTCTGTATCATTTTCGAACATTACAGTATTTCAGCAATATTACATGCCGAGTGGGAGTCTAGTATATTCCCAGACAGCACAAGGATGTCCTTAGGACGTCCAAAGGGCATCCAGGACATACATGTAGGATATCCTATTTAATCCTCGGATCTCCTCTGGATGTCCTGAGGAAGAGTAAATGATAGCCGAATACTAGCCTCTGGAGAATCCAGGGAGATCCAGCCCGTATCAGACTACGCATTGAAAATTGAAGATTGAAGATTAATCAGAACAAAAGGGACTAAAATTTCTTTGTCTTAATTGGTCAAATTTCAATCTTTAATCTTGAATCTCAATCTTCAATGCGTAGTCTGATACGGGCATAAGGATTTCTATGGGATATGTTAGGGATATTTTTCGTACGTTTCAGGGAGCAAATTCTGAAAATTGCGGCCTGTTATTTATTGCCAGTACTGAAAATGTAATACTGAAAATAGTTCACGTTCTTTGATAATTGAGACTTTGGTAGTCTACATGAATATTAGGTTTGGCTTTCGGGTTTGAGCCGTGTAATATTTTCTAAACAATCCAATATCTGAATTCCCTATGTTAAGATTGTATCAGAAATTGAACTGATAAAAAATAATTACACTTTTAATTTCCTGCTAGTTGCTCTTTACAAGCTTTATATAATTCTCAAGACCAAATCTTAAATACGAGATCGCGCGTTGCATAGCGGTAAACAAACGAATTAGCGGCTGAATACTATTTTTTTGTAACGTTTTTGAAATGTTGCGCACAGTAACATTTCTCATGAAATATTAAATAAATAATAATTTTGGCTATATGAAAATGTGCGCATCAAATTCAGTTATTATAATATTAAACGAAATTAATGTTAACAATTAATTGCACATGTATATGTCCTCCGCAAATCCAAAGGACATCCAATATAATAGACAGGGCAAATA